GTGCCGTATGCAAACGTAAATGCTGCGTGCTGTACGTTGTGCCATATGCCATACGTTATGCCAATATGCTGTATGAAATAATTAACACAAATTTTTATTTTTCAAATAAATATTAATCATAGTCCAACTATTTATATTAGTATCATTTTCATTTACTTCATTATTATTATTAAAAAAATTAAAATCAATAATGTCTCCAATTATTAAGGTGTTTCTTGTCTGAATTGAATTATCATTTGAATTAACATTATTTAAATAATCATTTTCTGATTCTAAACTCATTAAAGTACCAACTGATGAATCATTTGGTACATTTCTTAATTCATTGCTGGTTGAAGTTTGTTTTTTTATAGATGAAAAAGGAGGTTGGAGAGGAGGACTTTCATAAAAGGTATGTTCATTATTCTCTGCATCAGAAGTTACATTGGTAATGGTGGTCAAATTTTGTACTTGTTCATTCATTGATAAAATAATGTTCAAATTAATTATCAATATTAATAGATGATGATGATGATTCTTTTATTATTGGAGAAGTGTACTGTATATATAATGAAAAAAACATTGAATGATTAATCATCAAAAACAATGTTTTTTATTATCTGAGTCATATAGACTTGGGATATTTTATTCTTAAAAAACCGGTTGATAAATTTTTTGATGTGACATAAGCTAGGGTTACGGCATTCGACACATGATACGGCATATGGAAAGTGACGCATTTCCGTGTTTATGCTCTACTAATGTCGTAACCCTCAAGTGTTCATATGCTTGCACCCTTATTGGCATGTATTTAAAAAACGATCTTATTTTTTTTAAAAAAAAAAGTATACATGTGTTGTGATTCACGACTCAGCTGCAATAATTTAAAAAAATTTGTTTTCTGTTACACCAAAATAAAATAAACAATAATCACATTTGTTACATCTCGGAGTTTGAATTTGGGGTGTATAACTCCTTCGAGACATGATTGAGTTTGCTTTGTAAAAAATGTGTTCTTCTTGATAATACTTGTGCAGAAAAAAGTTGTGATGAGATCTTTTTAAATTCAAGTCATATCCATGTAACTTGAAAAAAAATTTATATGGAAGACAATTTCGAAGTCGTAAGAAGTATCTATTCCCAAGTGTAGTCCTCCACTTCAAGTGAAGTTTATTTTTAAGTGTAGTTTTCCACTATTTCCCTTCATTTAAAAATAATGTCTCGCTTGAAGTTCCTCACTCACTTGAGAAAGATGTTTCTTCTTTTCTCTGTACATACCTACCTTATGCGTATAAATTTATTTATTAAATATAACTTATTAACGATTAGAGTGTTGTTCAAATCCAGCATTATCCATTTTTGCGGGAGGTTCCGATCATACTGAAGAATGGATGAGTTCCGAACTACAATTAATTTTAATTTAGATTTGCACATATCCACTTCCATAATTATGCCGAGGCTGAATCCTTTTATTATAGGTACAACAATCGTAGCTATCATGATAACCAAGGAAATACAATTACATTTTCAGCTGCTACGTACTACAGAACTAATAGATCAGTAAACTACATACATTATAATAATATTGTTGGTAATAACAACAATGGTAATAACAATCTTGATGATAATAATAGCAGTAGTGTCAATGACAACAATAGTATCAGTACTGATAATAATGATATTAGTAGTAGAGCTGGTGCAGATGATAAAAACGTGGTGATTTCGATAACGGGTATTATTAGTATTGTTATATAAAACCAAGTATATTTTTTTGTATATTTTTTATTATATACAGTATATGTTTATTTCGTTTATATATTTATATTTGTTTTTTTTTTCTTGTATATTAAAAAAGGTGGTGTTGGTGATTATTGATCTACAGTATTACTCGTAATTGAAAGTTGTGGCAAAAGAAAAATGGTTAAAATACCTTACAAAACGTTAGAAAAACTCATCGAAAGCACGCCAAGAAGAATTGAGACATGCATTTCTAATGACAGGTGGCCCATTAGATATTAGTCAAAAAAAAATATTCGTTTTTTTTTTAATAATAAAAAATACCGGAAATACAAAAAACATCAAATTTTATATGAAAACGAATAAGAATCTAGGCTATCTAATGTTAAAATTTTATGTATTCTTATTATGTAGCATTTTGCATAATTAACAAAAAACATCGTTCACAAACTTTTGTCCGGGTAGTGTATTTTATTTTGCATAATCGATTCTTCGAAATTTTGCTGTAGCGTATTATTTGATCTAATAAAATCTATTTGAATCCAATAAAACAAATAAGCAAAGGATATATTTATTATTTATCAATAAAGAAACTTTAAAGTATATAAATATGATTGTTTTTGGACTGAATGATGTATCAAAAAAAAATTTGCAATGTTAAAATCGTTAAACTTTATACATTTAATAATATTATTTTGAATAAATTCTTTAAAAAAAATGCTGTTTAAATTGACTACTACTTGTGTGATCGATTCAATCATTAACACCAGAGGAGCAAAATTATTTATTTAGCAATAAAAGCTATTTGTTTGTTTGTTAATATTAATGCATGGTTTCTATTCGTAATACAAATTTAGCTTTATTTGCTTTTATTTGAATTATTATTACTCGTTTTATTTGTTTTTATTTGTTTTATTATTCGAATTATTACTCGTTTATTCATTCGTTTTGTTCGAATTATTTTCCTAACTACTACTCAAGATTACGATATTATTTTAATACAAAGAGCTTTAGAAATAGTTAACCAATAACTTAATTACAATATAAAAGAACTATTAGTTTATTAAATTAAGCCAATAATTAACTAAAAAACAGGATTAATTTTAAAAGAATACCTGATAAATATTGTGATTTCATAGGCTTTTAGATTATATGATAAAAATACTAGGAATATTATTAACTTATCAGTATGCCTTATTTTTTTAAGATATCTACGAATTGATACCCCATTACCTAATTTGGCATCATTTCAACCAGTAAAAGCGAATGAATAGATAACATATAAGCAAAGAAAGATGGGACCCTAAATTAGCACAAAAGAATTTTAAATCATGCACAAACATAACAGCATTTTATTGTATATAATTAATTGTATATCTTTAATAAAACAAACATGACTTAGCTATTTAATCATTTCCTTGTATGTGAATGCCTCCATCCATCAAATATTCATGATTATTATCCAATACATTTGATGTTATAATTGACATAACAAACAATTGCATCACCCAAGTAATGATAATACCAAGGCCATACATAAATACAACTTTTAATAATGTGTGTCTACCCAGATCTCTAGTTTCACAAAATAAATTATTTTTCCTGATTATCAATTATAGTTTTTTATGAATAATAAATCTGATGTAAATTGCAAGTGTCAGATTTAATTAAATTTTCCTGTCACAAACATGTGGGTTAGGTGCTATCAGCACACCCCATAACCATGGGATTTTTCCTTCACAGGTGAGGGTACCCAATGTTGGTAGGCTTTGGAAAAAACTTCCCTTATCTTCCTCTCAGACCAGGCTTGGCTGTTACCATATGGGCATTGATCACCTGATAGCTAATACTAATGTTTGTGCGATACTTGCTTTGTGTTATAGTCCTCTCACTAAAATAAAGTTTGTGTCTGCAACCTAGGTTGCTGTCTATCTTAATCTACAGAACAGGTAACTAATTGTGCAAAAACCTATTCAGTCCCTACCTAAAATTATAAATTGGTTAGTATTAAAGAAACAGCCTTTCTCTTAACATCAGAGCCTAATTCCAATTTCAGGACTATCAACCCTGTTCTGAATTGTGACCTCATGTGCTTGAAATAAGTTACAAATTCTTGCTGCCTTGATGGATCTGGATGTTTATGCACACCTAATATCACAACTCTTCAAAATACAACTTGGTCACAGATCCATCCTTACCCTAGAGGTAGAATCGTTGCAGGCAACTTTCAGCCAGAATGCTAGCAGCCTCCTCTGGTCTGGGTACAGTGAGAAAGATTAGTGAAAGTGTCAGACAATTGATGCATTTTCAATATATCCCAGGGCTAATCCCCCCCCCTGAAATTTAACAACATTGTATCATTAGAGCCATGACATAGTCAGATTAGCCTTTGTACAATGCAAAGAATGTGAAAGAATGTCTGTAAAGTGTTAAAGGTAGCATGCATGCCTCAACATCTGCTAATTTCCTGATAATCAAACATTGCATATTGAAATGTTTCTTCTGCAACAGTCAGTTATGCTGCCCTGACATCTTGTAATTATATATATATTTATATATATTATTTATATATATTAATATTGATACTGATTACACAAAGCAAAATACCAACCATTCATTTATCATCAAGAATCTTATTTACCCAGCAAGTTCTACTCTTCATTTTGATTCCATTTAAAATATTTATAAAATAAAAGGACACCACATTATTATTATATCAAGGCAAATAAAAAAATGTACCTCTTTCATTACTGTTATTAACAGGAGACTCATGTTTTACCGCCATCTTTGAAAAATAAATTGTTTTTCCAAGAAAAAAAAAATAATCAATCAATTCGTGTCAACCCATAAATAATTAATGTGTATATACGCGTTTGACAATCAAATAAAATTCATAAGCAGAAGTTTGTATGATTGGCTAATGTTCTGTAGATCATTTCTTAATCTTTGTAATTTAATTGGATGGATGATATTAAAATAAATTCACTTAAAACTCTTATAATAGTAATCAAACAAAAAAACTATGGCCAAAGAAATCACCATATTGTATCATCTCATGGGCTAAAATGTCATCTGCAGATTCTTTAATGTCATCATTATCACCTTCAAAATAGAATCAGGATCTTCACCTTCAGCATTACTATTCAAATTAATTTGATGTAAACTTCTAGAAGTGATTGAACATGTTTATCAACACCACCCTTAATAAAGTCTAAGCAACGTAAGCACTTGGACCCATCTTGGTTAAAACATGTGTTATGATATGCATGGCCACATGGAAATACCTATTCTGTTTCTTCAGTGATTGTAGTTTTAGTAATAAAACAATTAGAAGAATCACAACCATACAAACTAGGCTTATGCGAAGAGCTACGCCCTAAAGGTAGATGACAAAGACATGCTTCCTTCATCTTCATTGCTGGAATAGGAATATTGTTTCCTGCATTAGTACTCCTTCTTACTCCTCTTTAACGGGCGTCTCATAGAAACTTGTGGTGGAATTAAAATTTGAATTTTCCTATGATTAATACGAGTATAGATATCAGCAAAACAATCTAGATGCAGTTTTCATGTCAAGGTTTCCCTAAAATCATCATAATTAAATTGAGAATATTCGTGACTATCCCTACTGCTCGTGAAAAAATTAAGTTTTTGTATAATTTCTGGCTCATTATGATGGGACTGTTCTAATGCATGTTGCTGTAATTAGATTGCACTTCTACTTTTAAGATTTTTATAATGCAACGTTTCACTAATAAAAAAATAAAAAATAGCCCTTAAAATAATACCAATGTTCACTGTGCAAAAGAATCAAAAAAAAAAAATTATACTCCTAACATACTTTACTTAGAAGACAAAAACGTGATTGACTGGAGCTTGTAGTCGAAATCTGTTAAATTCTGGAACTCGACTAATGGTTGCATATCCATAGATGAGCTTTTTGAATCATCAAAAGTATCATTCTGATACTTATCTGGCAGATTGCAGGGTTTCATATATTCTTCGAGTAAGATTACATCAAACAAAGCATCATCATCCTCTTGTTCAGAGATGATGAATGGGCTGGAACTGAGATCGAGATTTTTTTGCGTAGTTTGTGTAGACATCATATGTAGGTGTAAAGTTTTCAGTATATCTAAACATACAAATCAAATAAAAAATATGATCCGAATGATAGTAATGCGTGGTATCCAAGTTTTTGGCCATGCCAGCTCTGCTGAGAATTGACACTATCTAACGCTCAGAATCAACACAGTGGCTATTTTTTTTTGTCTATCTCTCCAGTTGTTCTTGTAAATGGTTGTGACATGCATCTTACAAAAATCAGTCTGGGAATAGGTCAGCTTATTGCAGAACACACACAATTTTTTTGGTGGTGACTTAAAATGCCTGACACATCCTGACATTCGCAAACATTTTTTTCCACAGATAGATCCATCTTTTTTGATATATTGGCAAATTCAGGACTCTAATGTATAATTATTTTCAGCTTTGGCGGAGTGATATGAGGTGGATTTCATTTTATCGGAAAGCAGCTCCATATAAGATAAGTTTTTAAGATTATTATACGTTAAATTTTCCTTTCATTTTTTATTATAGGTGAATCGTATAAATATTCAAACCCCATCTAAATAATATTTTGATTTTAAAGATTCGAATTTGTAAGTATTTGTATACTAAAAACTTTCCGCATATATATATTATTTACATAGTTATCATGGAAACTGCTCAAAAAACCTAAAAGTCCAAAACTAATAACTCTACCTCGATTTTAGACCAGGTCCTAAAAAAATACAACTTGTCTACTGATCCAACCCATCTCAATTATGTGACTATGCTAATGAACTTGGTGCTATGTTGCCAGACTGGAGGACTCGCAAAAGTATGAAAGAATTACTTCATCGACGTTCATTCAGTAAAGATAAGATTGAGGCTCGCATGTCGGATAAAATCACCATCAAGGAAAGAGATCAGTATTGTGCTAAAAGTGGTGATCCATTTGATATAATAGCTAATACTTTAGATGTAATAAAGACAAAAAACAATAGTGATAAGGAAAAAGTTGCTTCCAGCTCATGTCTTACATTATTCCGTAAGGAATTGGCAGAAGCTGGAGCCGATCCTAAAAATATTTCATTAGCTAAGGATCCAACTACTACCGAAGAGTCTAATGAAATTCAGAAGAGGCAACTCATACAGGGATTAGCTAATCCGTCTAAAACTCCTAAACACTTCTCTTTAGAGGAGGGACTTAGAAGAATTCAAATTACTACAAAAATTTTTACTATGCAAGATCTTGCGAGATATCATCATGATCTAAAAGAAATTAAGATACTATGTATGTGCATGTACACCAAATCACAAAAAAAAAAAAAAATCTCCTACTTATCTTGTTAAGTTCCCATTTCATCACCATGTTTTTGCTCATTTCCGATGATTTCTTCAACTTTTTCAAAAGACTTTTCTCTCTTAAAAAACTGCTTGATTCAACGAACATGCTATAGAAGTTTGCCTAAATTAAATTGTAATGATGCTGGAACTCAGAAAAAAAAGGTGCTGAAACTAATAATTCGAAACTTAGTTACTTTGACAAAACTTAATCATTGTGCCGAAACTATAATTTGTTGACGAAACTTCAATTTTTGTTGAAACTATTTTATAATGATTAGATATTTTCTTTTGTAACAAATTAATTATTGTTGAAATACAAGAAATTTTATTATTATTGTAAATCATTTAATATTATTATTATGTAGAAGGTGTTATAATTCTTTGGTTATGTTGTATGTGAAATTGAAATATTATAGAGTGGGGTGAAATTCTGATTGGTTAATTTGAATTTCACGTATGTAAATTTGAGTTTCACATATGTGAATTGCGAATTCACATAATTTCATTTTCACGTACAACAGTTACATTAGTATCTACAAAGAATAAGTTTGGCAAATTTTGGTGCTATGGGAAAATGTACTATTTGAATACCATATTCTGAATCATTATCTTCTTAATCTAAATCTATGATTTCCAAATCTGAAAATCTTCATGAGCTATGTAAACACTCTTATTATTCCCACAAAGCAAACAATAAATAGATTAGGAATTACCCAAAAGAACGCGTTTGCTTAGCTTTATTGATAATATATTTAGGAAGATACTTCATTTTCAATTTTGTAATTTGTAGACGATTCTTTCCAAAAATTTTTTATAACATAAAAAATGATTTCTTTTCAGCAATCTTGATTAAGTTTAAGGACAGGATAATATCTTTATCTTTAAATAAAGAAAGGAAAAAGATTTTTTTTATTTGAATAAATTTACGTGCAACAAAAAAATTTCCCGCGATAAAATCAAAATATGAATTACCAATTATGTAAATGTCTGCTATATAGATTTCGACATTTTACCTGCATGAAAGCCGAAACTAAAATTTTTAATTTGGCTGAAACTTAGTAGTTTAGGCAATCTTATATAGGACATGTCTTTTCAACATTGTTTCCTTGTTTTTTTTTGTTTGGTGATGGTGATGATGATTCTATAACTGGACATGTAAACTCCAACTCCAGGGCTTCTAAATGCAAAAAATCATTCCACCTGGTACCAATTTGCCGCTCATTTGAAATTTTAGGTCACCCTTTATTGTATTTGAATCTAATAAGCAAACCATTTATATAAATAAATACATTCATGTATCTAATAGTTTACATGCCAGTTTAATTGTAAAATAATTTTTTTTACCTAGATATGATGCTAAAACACTTGTTTCAAAGATTTTTTGTTTTAGTGATTCTGTTGTAGGCAAACATGGGACGGTAATTACTTAATTACCGTAATTACCTAATTCGTAATTAGCGTAATTAATTACCACTTTCACTCTTTAAAAACGTAATTACGTAATTAATTACGGGTGACGAATTGATTACGGGTGACGAAATTAATTGCGGGCGACGAATTAATTACTATTGTGAAAATTTTCTATGCAAACCGTTGTTAACACAAGCTTTTGCTTTATACCAAATATACATGGAATGGTAATTGCCTAATTAGAGTAATACGTAATTATAGTAATTAATTGCCATATTCCACTTTAAAGCGTAATTACGAAATTAACTACCGTGTTACGAGTAGAGATGTGCCGCGCATAGTGTATTATGCATAGTGTATTATGCATAAGGTTTTAGATATATTTCTTTATAGACATTTACTTATTAATAAACATTTCTAAAAAAAAAACAAATATGCTATTTACTTTCTTATTTTTATATGCGCATTTATGATATTTCCCTCTCTATGATATATATACACTATGCGCATTATGCGCACTATGCTACCATACGCGAAAAAAAATCACGGTTACTATGAATGGCACATCTCTAGTTACGAGTGACGAAACTAATTTACGTGATTAAACCTAGCCGAATTTGGTTGATCGTGCCTGAATTTAATTTGATTTCTCGTGGTTTATGTAAGTACGCCAATGGTAAACCTATTTATTGTTAGAGGTGTTCGAGTTAAAAATACTATCATCGAAAATGACAGTAAATGTAATATTTTCATCATCATCGTATAATTTATTACGAATAATTTTTTATCGTCGTCGTATTTGGTATTATTTATTTATCGTGAATAATTTTTTTTCGTCGTCGTGTCGGGTTGTGAAAAGTTTTCTATCATGTCGTCAATTTCATTACAATTGATTTGGTAAAAACCGTTACAAACTACATTTCTTATTTTTTCTATAATCCTCTTCGATCTTCGAGTAGGTTTATCTTCATCTAATATCAATATTAAGTTTATTTGATGCCTACTACTACTATACAGTATATCAATATTATTAATGTAGTAACGTCCATTGAAATATGAATAATAGAATACTTGTGTTTGTAACTTTTATTGTTTTGACTTTCATTAATTTACACTTTCTGTATATAGGTTTTCATGCGTTTAACCTTTGTAATTATTATCACCCTCATCTCCTGAACCTACTGAATTATAATCATCATAACCTTTTTCTGGGTCATAATAATCTTCCAAACCATCGTTGATTTTTTCTCCTCTTTCATCATTAGTTGTTTTGCGCCTTCAGGTTTTGGTATGATATTACTCTAATAAAAAAAGTATGAGAGTTTTGAATTAACTTTACATTAAAAGTATTTTAATTCAATACTTCACGTTAAAATTCGGACTTCATCACTCTCGGGAGATTCTTTAAGTTTCTCAATGAGTTTTAAAAATAATACGTTCCGACCTCTCCAATTTATCAATATTTTTTCTCTTAAATTCTTTAAAAGTCTAATAGTCATTATGGTAATAAACAATTGGTATGTATATAATGGTAAAACGTTGAATATAAACGAACGTAAAATAAATTTGTTTTTAAAAAAAAAATGTAAACAAATAAAAAAAAGTTTAATTTTTTTTTATCATTAAAAAAAAAAAAGTTTAAATTTTGTCACTTAAAATTAACTATAAAGTTAATATGATGATAATAAATACCGTATATTGTGATTACGCTAACTATACTAATTTTGAATAATTGTAGTGTATATACTCGCGTTATCACAATCATTGTCTACAAAGGTGCCAATCTAAATGTTTGATATTTTTGGACTATCTTCAAGTCGAAATCAAAAAAAATGTCAATGCATTAAAAGAACGACGAAAAGATTAAACGAAAATGAATTTATCGAAAATAATGAAAATGCAGTTGATGATGATCCGGGTAACATTGAATCAGCAATAGATGATGCACAATGGAAATTTTATTAGAACATGCAAAAAACCATTTTTGGGTTGTAAATTTTGTTTTTATATCTTAAATTGGCCGCGTTTACATTTCGTCAACATTCATTATATTAAGATTATTTTGATTATTATCGAGAGTTATGGCCAAGATAAGAGTTAGAAAGAGAGTTATTCATCAACCAAGTCGAAAACCAACTCTTTAAATACACTTTCGAGTAGTACAATTTAATTTATTAGACTATTTCAAAGGTTTGTCGCATGGTTGCTTCCAACTTCTTAAATTCGAACCATTCGTTAACGTAACAACCGTTGGTGAAGTGATTGTTGACAAAATGAATCAAACCAACATTATCAAATTCACGATTTTGATTGGTCAATCAACAATTGTATAGGTTAAATTTTGTTACCTGTTCTTATTTCTTTGCTCAAACAAGTAATTGTTTTTTATGTGTAAATACTTAGTAAACATTCTGGTCTTGGGATAATTCTTGTTCATTTTATTCAAACTATTCGTTTATTAGTTTTGTTTGAAATATTTGAATTATTCGTTTTACTCAAATTATTCATTTTATTTGAATTATTCGAAATATTATTATATTATTTTTTTCTTTATCATTTTTTTTTTTTTTTTTTATAAAATAAAGACATATTTTTATTTAAACAATCATTACCATTTCAACATAGTACTACTACTACTACCATCCTATCAATTGACATCCTATCAATTGCCCAAATCCAACTCACTCCTGTTCTAAATGACCAAAACTAACTAAACAACATGTGGTAAGGTTATTTTCTAAGTGAAGAAGCAAAGGATTAGTTTTAAGTTTTTGTCAAGCATAAAAGTTTTTCTTTGCATTTGTAGAAGTATTTGAGTGTAAATGTAATGAGTTAAAGTTGTTTGGCAAAGTATAAGGTGTTAACAATTGACCAAATGTAAAGTGCAGATATTTATTAACTAAAGTCATTAACACATTTTTTATTTGTGTTAAAGTAATTGCTGTAAACATACAGCTGTTAAATGAACAATTTAAGGAGTCTTTGTAAAATTAATAAAGCTTTAAGTGGTCAAAGGAACTTTTTCCACTTTACATAAATTGTACCATAAAGTGCACTTGCAGATTGTCAAAGTTTTCTAAGTACAAAAAAGAGGCAGTAAGCAAGAAAATTGTTAATTGATGAGTATGGAATATAAAAGCTTGCAATTAATCAACAAGTGTACCTCAAAAGTTAATTCAAATTTATCTGAGGTGAATGTATATAAATGCTTGAATATAAAAATACAAATAATAATAATTACTACAATAATAATAGGCATGGTAATAGGTCACTTCAATTATAAGGAAGGATTTAAACAAAATATAAAGTATCTAATATTTTTAAAAAAAATGATAATATATAATAATGTACACTTCTTTATAATAATAAAAAGCCTAATGTAAATTCCAACAATCAGATGAACAAAATTTATTTGTAAATCTAAATATCTAAATCCATTTGATTAGAATCTATAAATGTAATAATTTATCACATAATAAAAATAATATTAATGTTGAAATTGATATTTAATTTTAAAACTAATAAATAAATAATAATAATTACCATTCAAATCCATTTGATTAAAATCTATAAATATGATAAAAATAATATTAGTATTAACATTGATATTGAATTTAAATCAATAATCAAATAGTTACCATTATTAATACTACCTAAATCAATTTGATTAGATTCTATAAAATGATTATTTAAAAATAATATTAATGTTGATATTGAATTTTAAGATTAATAATCAAATAATTGATAATTACCATTATTGT